ACATGTACATGTACACAGTCTAATAATATCAATTATATGGGATCACAAATGACATACACAGAAACAATGTACCCTAGCTAAGCCACATCCAATATAAAATTCATTAAGGGGTACATGTACATTACATGTAAAATTAATATAATCTCACCAGAGTGGTTGTATACCATAACTCTCCTGTCACATCCAGCAGCAACAATACTAGTCAATGACCAGGAGAGAGCATAAGGAGAACAACTGTGCTTGCAAACTGGACCCTACCAATAAAACATAATTATTTTAATACAACTACAAAATACAAATACATGTACACTCCCATAATAACATAAAGTCTACAATTGGAAGCATTGAGGCTACAGAACACATTCACAGTATAATGCATATGTACTACATACATGCATACATGTGAATCCCCTTAATAGAATTGGGTATAGACATGTGCTCATGTACATGTACAATTAATGGATTGAACGATAATTTGTCAATAATCATGCACACATTATATTCTACATGTAGTCAATTAGTCATGTACCTTGCTCAGTTCACTGTCATTATCAAAAGTGTATCTCACAATAGTACCATCAGCATGACCACACAAGATACCTTGACCTGAAGGACTGAAATTAAACAAAAAATAATAGACAACATTATGTATGAGTATGACTAGTTACTACATGCCTATATTCAATCTTCAAACATACATGTACATGTAACAAGTTTTCTGACATGTTTTTACGCATATTCCCATTTTTATCATGTAATAATGCATGTAAATGCATATTTCATCATGTAACATGAAACATGCATGTTTTTTAGTTGAAACTACATGCATAATAATTAAAATTTAAGCACATTACATTATTGTACATGCATATAATATGTACATGTATAATATTCAAACCTTGAAGTGAGTGATACCACATAAGATTCTGATGAATAAATGGTCTGTGACTTGCTTCCCTTTACATTACCAAGCTTCACTTTACCATCAGCTAAACCAAATATAAAGGTTGGCTGCTGTATAGGCCATATAAGGGTAGTGACAGCACTCTGTGGTAGAGAGAGGGGGGGGAGAAAGAGAGAGAGGGACAGAGAGAGAGGGGGAATGGATAATAAGAGGAAGATTAAAAAGAGAAAATGTATGGCATTAGAAATTTATAATTTAGAGAAAAGGGTATATTGTACATGTAAACGTATATACATGTAGGAAAAGGGTCTTACTTGTAATATGATTTTGTTGCAAATGACTTTCTTATCTCCCCTGTTGGTATAGATCAAAAATAAACATACACAGTACATGTACATGTACAGAATACATTTAAAGTCAAAGCATTTTACAAGTACATACATGTACACGTACATATATGACATGTAGTACATTCATTCACATTTCATAAAGGAGTAAATAAAATAGAGACATTGCCCCACCTACCATTGCTCTCCTATCTTATAGACGAATATGATATTGTCAGACTGTCCAACAACAATCTTAGTGGAGTCTGGTGAGAATACTAGACCAGTAACCTGATAGCACTTCTTACCTAACTGTATAATAATAACAATAAGGAAAATATTAAATACAACTATACAAATAAATAAACAAAATACATCATGAAAATATTATAATACATTCAATTATTATTATTATTATAAACATTATTTTAAAAGTGCATATTTTATGTACATGTACCACTTTTCAAATGTTAAATGGGCCCCACAAAAATGCCATTTTAGAATATCTGGGTAAGAGTGAAGGTATCCCATAATTATTAATCGATTAATTAAAAGTCTTTTTCTTACGTCAGGGTTGGCAGGCTTTGTTGAAAACTTGTCTCTCTTCTCCCCATGCTCATCAAAGAGGAGTACAATCCTATCCACAGTACACACTGCTAGTTTGCTGTTATTAGGAGCCCAAGCGAGAGCTGTCACTTTAGATGGGCCATCCTGGGGAGGGGTGATTCTAATTATCGCCCACCTTCAAAACAGAACTCACTTGAGGAGCAAGAAGTGTCCTAAGATGCTTCAGCTGCATTGATCACAATAAATCCTAACTCGTGAGTGATTGTTTCTGAGAAGAGTGTCTTTGATTTGATTCAGTTTGCTCTCTTAGTCGCTTAGTCTATATGCTTTTGTTCAGTTACGTTACTATAGCAACATATGGGCGGGTCGATGATTTTATCATTTTAACCGCCAAATGGCGCTAGAGGCGCTTTATAAAATAAAAAGTGTCATTGTGTGATTTTGTTTCGTCTAATGTCTTTACCTAGGAATCCTGTAATATTACACACAATTTATTAGCTAAATTTTCATGTTTTCACACCATCTATTAACACAAAATATCATCTCTAAAATTTGTCCGAGCTAAATTTGTCACTTTTGTTACACCCTCACATTTATACTCAACAGTAAAGCAGCAACTCTTATTACATGTGCCTACAAAGATTTAGGGAATTAAGTGGTAATTTATGCAGGACACAGATTTAAATGTAACTATCCAATTTCATCATAATTATTCTAGCTGCATCATACTGGTACTTTTAATTTAAAGGGTAAAGTCATGTAAACAATTATTTTGTGCTTTGTTTTGGCAAGGCCAATGCATCAACGGTTTCTCCTTTTATTTTCTTGCTTATTTCTGTTCATAATCATTATCATCATTATAATCATAATCATAATAATAATAATAAATAATAATAATAATAATAATAAGAAGAAGAAGAAGAAGAAATATTCTTTAAAATAATAACAATAACAATAAGCTACAATTTTGGAAACAGACCAAAAAATATGACAGTAAAAATACACGTCTGTGACAAAATAATAAGTAATACTTAGCTTTAGGAAAATTACAAAATTTTTATTGAGATGCTTTATCAGAAACCACATCAGGAGGTTCTAATGAATTATTGTGCTAATTATTGGGACAATAAAAATTTTATTAGAAGTTGCAACAAAATACCTTGTTTAATTCATTTCTTTTATTTTTGTTTTGATACATGTGATCAAAAATATCGCCCAAGAAATCATATGCAATCTACAACACACGCAAGTTATAATAATAACTCCATTAGATTATAATAATAACTTACCTTTGGCACAACTGGTTGATCATAATGAGAAACAGTAGATGAATTGTATAAATTGCATTGTATTGAAGCCTGAAAAAGCAAACAGGAGAATTGTCACAATTTTTAGAAAAATTAATAGGAAAAATTAAAAAGTAAGGAATTATAGCAATGGATGCACTGTCTAGAGGTATTTATTGATGGGGATAAATTTTTGAGGAGCTAACTAACTTGATATTAAGCTGTCAGGTTAAATTTTAGTGCATTTAATCTCTTACCATAGCTTAAAAATTAGCAACAGGAGTTAATTGGCACAATTACATGCATTCAGGTAAATACAAGACACTGTGCACAAAATTTGCCAAAAATGGCTCTAAGTGCATTGTATGGAAATTTACATCA